GTGTTAAACTGCCAGCCTGTGGACTGGTTGCATCATACGGAGGCTGCACCCACCCCAGCTCCAGCAATACAAAAAAAAATTACGATATGTCGCGACACGTCATGTGACGCAGCAAGTTTGACACACGTGAGCTAAATGAATTGCATTCATTCCTATTATATAGGTAGAATTGTCAGGTGGGAAAATAGGTTGTTTTCTAGCTTGCCAAACTTTAAGTCACTTTAATTCTCATAGCCTTAGGATATAAATTGAGTTATGAGAAGTTATATGAAGTTGATATATGAATGAATGATATAGGCAAAAAGTATATCAATTTGATGACAATTCCCATATAAAGACTGAATATTCCAAATTATTTTTTCTCAGTTACAGACACTATTGTATATGGCTATCTTTTATTATTTGTTGTTCTATTTTAGTCAGAAGAAATGTAATCAACTGGTGTGCATACACTTCTAAATTACTAATCATATTAATGCAGAATGGTTTAGATTCTGTACAATTTATAAACAAGTTGATAAATAGATCTGGCATTCTTCTATATCTTTGCCCTTTTGGAGGTGACTAAATTAAAATGGATTAATGGTTTGATTTTCATGGAAGATCATGCCATGCATGACAGTTTTAGAATCACATACTTCCATGAGTGATGGAGATTTTAAGTTACTTGTTAATTATATCCTTGATAGAAATCTACAGAATATTTTGTATTTCCTGTTAGAAGTGATTAGAAAAAATAATACAGACAGTTCCATTGAGATTGACATTATACATTGTCCCTATATGGGCCAGTACAACAAGGAAGTACATACATTTTTTGAAAATACCATTTGTCAACATCTTTTTAACCCATACAACATAAAAACTAGGTATCAGTTCTACTAACTAAGCTGTTCTACTCAGTAAGCATCCTTTTTAAATAGTAGTTTTTGTACAAAACGTATATTACGAAAATATATATTAGTTATTAAATAAACTACCAAAGTCATGGAATCATACTCTTCTGTATAATTTTATGTTTACTAAGATATTTGCATATTTAATAATTCCCCCCCCCCATTTTTTAGATTTAAAATATTCCTTCTATTTCATGAAGTTTCTGACTCTATATATAGAGAGACAATCGCAGTCACACACACTGCTGTTATATTTTGTAGAGAGGTATAGAGATAGTTGATAAAAAAGATTCTGATATACAGCCTGTATCAATAGAGTATAGTACAGCGGTTCTCAACCTATGGGTCGCGACCCCATTTGGGGTCGATCGACCATTTCACAGGGGTCACCAAGCAAGGCTGTCCGCCATTTTTTTCCCCTTTTCCGGCGGGTGCCTTACCTCCCTTGAGCTGGGCCAGCTGGTGGTCGGCCTGCTCCATCTCTGCCGCTTGCCAGCTACGCCTCGGCTGGCGCAGGGGGCGGAACCACGCATGCGCAGCGCTCCCAAGCAGGGAAAGTCCTCGACTTACGACCGGTTGGGTAGTCCTCGACTTACGACCGGTTTAGTCCTCAAATTACGACCGGTTTAGTCCTCGACTTACGACCGGTTGGGGGTCGTGGCATTAGAAAGGTTGAGAACCTTGGTATCTGTTTCCTAACCTGATCTACCTTAGACACCTGGGATATATCAAGCACGGGTAATGCACAGTATATGACTGATGAGAAGAGCCATAAACTTGTTTCTACAGCACAACTTTATCATATTTTTTTTAAATATTCTAAAATAGTTAGAAGAGTTTAAAAAAAAATATTGTTCAATTACTAATAAAAAGTAAAAGATCTGAAAACAAAATTAATACAAATGCCTTTTATTTTATTTTGGCAGTCTATATCCAATAACATGGACTTGCAATCTTGTTAAAGATCAGTTTATATAACATTCTAAGATCACTAAGTTAAATTACTTTTGAAGGTCATCATTTGCAGTCTTGGTTGCATGGAAATGATGGGACAGTGGAATTACACTGAATTTTGCTAAATCTTGTTTATATCATTTGGAGAAAAATAGAATCTTATTAAGCTTACTCTCAAACAAACATTTTTGCTGACTGAATTTTTAGCTACTACAATTTAAAGGTAATATCATTATCTTTGATAAGTTTTACATGCAAAAGTGATGAGTTCATTCTCTGGCATGTACAGGAATTGCTAGGAAACACTGATGTCTCTAATCTTAGAGAATGTTATTTAGTCAGTATTGAATTAATTGATCCAGATGGACTAATAGTCTGTTATAATAAGAGAACTTTATTTGTAACAGAGTAATTATTGTGTCATATGAGCAAGACTACGATAGAATTTGAACCAAATTCTATAGAATATAAATCTGGCACTTTACTTGATAGGTCCTTTCAATAACTATTTGGAACAAATCTTTATCACAAAAGCACTGTATTTTCAAACAGAAACCAAAGACTGATTCCAGTATTATGTGTGAACTTTTATTATTACAACAAGGCTTTTCCTGCTGACTACATAGCATACACTGCATTTATTCTAAAGTCCTAGTTTCTACGCTGTTAATTATGCACGAATTGTCAATTTTTAAATAAACTTTTTAAACCTATAAACTGGTTTGATTCCTGAGTGGAATAAGTGGTTATTTACTGTATTCATAATTGCATTCTTGATTGTGGGAGTTACTTTAAAATCTAGAGTTTACCAGGACAGGAATGTTAGTTAGCAATAGGAATATACTTATATACCACTTCACAGTGTTTTACAGCCCTCTCTAAGTGGTTTACAGAGTCATCATATTGCCCCCAACAATCTGGGTCCTCATTTTACCTACCTCAGAAGAATGGAAGGCTGAGTCAACCTTGAGCCGCTCGGGATCGAACTGCTGGCAGTCGGCAGTCAATAGAATTAGCCTGTAATACTGCATTCTAACCACTACATCACCACGGCTTTTAGGTCAACAAGCAATTGAACTTAGCAGTAAGCCTGAGTGGTCCCAGCACTCAGGGCCCATTAAGTTCATAGGATAGTTGGGAAAAACCCATCAGATTAAAATACACTTGGTATCGCATTCTGACTTCATTCTAATACAAAAGATTGTTATCAAATTGCAATATCAAGTGTCTGTTAAATTTAAGCTGCATGAAGTTGACCTTAATGGTGTTTTAAATATGTGTGTGGGTTTAATTTATTGTTAACTTTTTTGGGACATTGATTTTGATGGAAATGGGTGAGGAAATCATTTAATATTTAATGTTCTTTGGTAAAACTGTGTTCATTATTAACTAATCAACTTACCAAATGGTACCTTTGTTAACAAATTAAGCATCTAGCTGGCCATGGTTGGCCTTGAAAAACTAAGCCAGATCTAATTGATACTTCAATGGGAAACACCAAGAAATACCAGACTGTAGGCTAGAAAGAAAGGCAGACTATTTCTGTATTACTATTAAGAAATTGATGTGTCTGTTCACGAAAATAATTAAAATCACGCAATTATTGAACAAAAATAATTTTTTATTTCCCTAGTTTACATTATTCATTCGTAAATATGGTCTCATTTGAGTCAAGTTTGATTTCTCACCTGTTCATGAAAAGGTCAGAAATCAAACTTGACTCAAATGAGACCATATTTACGAATGAATAATGTAAACTAGGGAAAGAAAATTTTATTTTTGTTCAGTAATTACATGATCTTAATTATTAGCATGTTCAGCTTATGCTAATTATTCTAGTACATTGTAATAAAGAGTCTCTACTCAGTTTAATTCTTAGAAGTATTTAAAGAATATTCCAGATCAAGGGTAGGACCTTTGGGAAAAAAAGTCATCTTTAGATAAAGGTTGACAGGATGCATTGCATTTAGTTTAATTTTTGTTGCAAGAATTTAAAAACATATATGATGTACTGTTGTGCATTTCCTACAAGTAACAGGATTTGAACAAAAGCTGTTGAGCTGTAACAGGTGCTGTTAAGGGAAGAGTGAGAATTAACTTTGTACTAGGAAATGGAGATGAGTAATTGAGTAAAAAGCCTCTATTTGAAAAAGCAATATTTCTATTTTAAAGTTAAGATTTCCCCCCCAATATTTCTGTATTTCTACTTCATAAGAGTCTTTTTTTAATTGCTAAGTATGTTTCTCAGTGTTAGACTTTGCCGTGTCTTATGAGCCCAAGAACCAGCCAATGAGTTCTATATACTTTCATTGTCTTACAAGTAAACATTTCCACCAAAATGTAGCTAATTTTCTTTTGATTCTGTGGGGCAGAAGAATGAGATATTACTGTGATGTTTTTTCTATACAGAGATGAACCAAGTGTGCAAAAACCTACATAGCGCACTTCAACAACAACAAAAACTCTTAATAGGATAAGAAAAATGTCATGAAACTGTTGTAATTTTTCATCTGAAGCCATTGACAATTCACAGGATATTAGTAATCAGCTGATAGAAGACTGGGGTACTGAACAATTATCTATTTATTGTTACCTCTTATAGTTATTATAAACTGTAGTGGGAAAACCTTTTTAAAATGGCCAAATAATTTTTCATGATAAAACACTGTTTTTGCCCATTTCATTGCTATTTTGGAGCTAAAATTGCATTAGCTATTTGATTGTACTAGCTGAAAAGCAGGCCTTAAAGATAGCCACGTGTAGAGAGTAAAGGAAGATAATAATGCTTGTTAGATGGACAGCTCTATAAATTAGGTTGACAAATAAATAATGAAGAAGAAGCATTACCTAGGCAAAAAGAGGTGAAATGTTTTAAAGTTCAGATAACAAGATAACATTCAGAAAAGCAGCGGATGCAGATACCTCTCTAAGTTAGTGATGTATAAAAAGGAACAGCACAATGAGACTTGCAAGTTTATAGCCAACCCCAGTAAAAGTAGCTTTAATCTTCCTGTGGAGTTGATTTCCTGGTCAGGTATGCCTAATGGGGCTGACACCTGGTTCTAATATACTTTATTTCTGAAAGAAAGATATAGAGACATCTTATGTAAATGTATTGTGACTAGTGACAATATATGTTTGTCTTTTCAGATCCCCAGCTCAAGGGCATAGTGACCAGGTTATATTGCAGGCAAGGCTACTACTTGCAAATGCACCCAGATGGAAGTCTCGATGGAACCAAGGATGACAGCACTAATTCTAGTAAGTGCTCTAAGAAACTGTTCATTACCTACATACGCGCAACATGTAGAGTTAATCATTCCAAAATGAATATCCATCGTTTGTATGCCTTCCGTGTTTTTTATGGTTCCTGATATGCCATTTTTAAAATCATGTCTCTGTTTCATATCTGCTGATGTCTTCAGAAAATGAAAAGAGCTCTTCTACCTCACCGTAATCCTTGAGTAAGTTTAGGGAGTGCTCTACTCCTGTGCCAAAGATGGGAGAAACAATGCTCCAGAATACATTCCCTCAGTTTGAATTCTTCATATACTGTTTTCTTGTTCAGCAGTCTTTGCTAAAATCTAATTAGGGGAGACTTTCTTATGATGGCCTGAAATCATATAAAGAAAAGTGATCATTACCTAAGAATTGCCATGGATAGAATGATCACACAGCTCTATCAGCATTTTAGAATAATAGAATAACAGAGTTGGAAGAGACTTTGGAGGTCTTCTAGTCAATCCCCTGCTCAAGCAGGAAACCCTATACCATTTCAGACAAGGGGCTATCCAGTCTCTTCTTAAAAGCCTCCAATTTTGGAGCACCCACAACTTCTGAAGGCAAGCTGTTCCACTGGTTAATTCTTCTCATTGTTAGGAAATCTCTTCTTGGTTATAGCCTGGTTTTCTCCTTGATTATTTTCCATCCTTTGTTGGTGTTTTGTTTAGCAAGGGATCCAGTACTGATTGTTTTATGAAATAGTTGTAAGGGTTATTCGATTATTTTTTTTCTTTGAGTTTCCCAGAACTGTTACATAATTGTTAAATATCATGATTACATGTCTATAAAAGACATTTTCCCCTTATTTCTAAGGTTTGTTTTAGGCTCCTTTTCTCAGGTTTTTCTCATGCTTAATATATTTGTGAATGTAGCTTTTCTGAATACTAGGATTGATATCCACCTCAAAATGTACATTCAGCATACACAAATTTATTGATGGATTTATTTATGGATTTATGTAGCCACTCAGCTTGTAAAAATGCAACTTTGGGTGGTGTATAGTAATAAAAACAATACAATATCCTCGGCAATAAAACACACGAAATCAACAGAGATAACAAATACAAAGTCAGGGCACATTGTTATATCCTCCACCTCTCAATTCATCCAACATCTTGGCCCAAACCCCAAGGGAACAGACAATGTCTTCAAAGACTAGTAGGACCAGGATCAAATTTCTGAGGGGAGATATTTCCACAGGACAGGTGTCACAAAAGAAAAGGTACTTCTCCTAAATCTCTCCTGATGGCATTAACTCAAGAAGAGGCTCTGCAGCACACCTATTCTGCTGGAGCATGTAGAGTGGCAGAAAGATCTAGAGACAGACAATCCCACAAATAACTTTTGAGCCATGAAGGGCTTTATAGGTAACAACTGTCACCTTGAATTGTATTTGGAGGTCTACTGCGAGCCAGCACAATTCACTAACTAGAGGTATCAGATGGGTTGCCAAGATGGATAAATTATTTTGTTTATGTGATGAATGGCTGTACCACACTGTTTGTTTGCTGCACTATGTCCATACATGAAAACTAGTAATTGAACCAGAATGTGACCAAAATACAAATGTATTTAAAGGTAACTTAAAGCTCCTTCTGCACTAGTCTAAGAATATATTTGAATTTTGTTGTTTTATTGTTCTCTTATAATATATTTAGGGTCAAAATTTTGCCTGGGTTTGCATAAGTCAATGTACTGTAAATGGCTATGGTGTAGTTCAATGGATGTGTGAAGCTCATGACCATTGAGTAACATGGCTTAGTGCAAGAATGAACAATTTTTTGCAGTATATGGGATAAGAAGGTTTGTTTTTTAATTGCTAAAGTATTGTTCTTAACCTTTCCCCAAATCTTCCTCTTCAACAAAGAAAACACTGCCATGCTGTCCCTGGAAAGACTGTGATGATCAAAAATGGGCTGCGGGGAGGGGCTGGGGTTCATGTTCCGATCAGAAGCCAAGAGTGGCCTCCAATTGGTGTAGCAGGTTTTATGAACACCGCTCCTATTACTGTAAATGGGATTTCATTTCATTACCTATTTTATCTATCCTGATAGTGTATATAAAATGGTATAAGCTATGCTTATTATGTCAGCAATATTATTTCATTCATGTCTTTGCTTCCCTGTGATAAATCTTCTTTATTTTTACAGCATTGTTCAACCTCATACCAGTGGGACTTCGAGTTGTTGCTATCCAGGGTGTAAAAACAGGCTTGTACATAGCCCTAAATGGAGAAGGATTCCTTTATACATCAGTAAGTCGTTTAACATAGCTCTTGGTTATAAAGCAAAGCCAATTCAATCATAGAGCCATACCTTGGGATTCTTACAGGAAAGACAAAATAAATTCAAACGATGTATTTTTATTTTAAAAGTTAGATCATTCATATTTTATTATTCTGTATTATTTTAATCAGGTAAAAATGGAAGGTCATAACTAGGATAAGACAATTGTTTGACATACAGGAGGCAAATTAAGGCAAACTAAATCAAACTACATTGGAATAACATTGTTTTGATTTCAATATTTTGAGCAGAATAAATGATTAATAATTGTATACTTTTCCATTTGGAAACATGGTGAAATGGTAATTTTTAAATACAAAACACGCAGACTGTTTAATGTGATTTATTATGTTGGTATGCCTAGCAGATGCATATTGTATGCTATGCCTTTTTCTTATTGAAACATAATATGAGGTTTTATTTATACAATATGAATAGTAGAATTGAAACCATTCAAATCAGCATAATTAAAATCAATTAATAGGTTGAAGTCGATACACCAAAAATATATTTTTCTAGTCCTGTGAGAGTGGGGAATGATTTTCACAGCTAAGAAGCAATAGAAGAGAGGGTCTTCTTCTATATATTAGATAGATAAGAATGGGGCCATCTTGTTCTGAGTTCATCGTGGAAGAGCAAGATTCACATTCTTTTAAAAGTCAACATCAGCATCTTGAATTGAACAGCAAATAAACAGGTGATATAGATATACCACTATACCATAGTCTCTCTTCCTCACATCATTTAGCAGCTTGACCATTGTAGTTGCCATTTTATGGCACTTTTAGGATAGTACTGAAATCAAGGTGTTATAATGAAGGCATGGATAATTATCACTAAGTCTGATTGGCTCAGGAAAAGTCACAGTTGGCACATTAGCTATATGTATGCAGGTATACTCATCACAACTATTACTAGCAAATCTGATAACAGCTGAAGATCAAGGGACACTCTTAAATTGCAAACCTGCTCTTTCCAGATATGTGAAAGTCCATGCCAGACACATTTCACCTCAACCTCCAAGTCTAGTTTTCTTTTATCTCTTCTTATCTGAATTTAATTTCAGATTATTTTTATCTAGCCCTATTATCAAAATTAATCAGTATGCAGAGATATTAATTGCTGCTTTGGGGTTTGATGACAGAGAAGAGTAGAGTTAATCTCGTCAGTCTACTATTTGTAACCAACTCTAAAGCTCTAGACAACACATTTTAGCAGTTTCAGGTAGCAGTAGTAGACAGGGCAAGATAGATCGCTGAGGAATTCTATACAGCAACCATCAAGTTGTTGAACAGTATTCCTCCAGCACACCTTCTGGGTATGTCTTGACAAAAAGGATCAGAACCATTGCAAAACAGTGCCTCCAAGACCCCAAATTCATAGAGAGATTCCAGAAAACTAGCAGGGTTGCACCCTCACCCCCAATTTCCTATCTAAGTCACATTGAGATGACCAAAGCAGGCTCAATATTACAAATATTTAGCCTGATATCCATGGGCACCCATGACAATGCTGAAATCAAAGACATACTTGTTTAGCAAGGGACCCAGTATTAGATTTCCACTAATTCAATGGGACTCACTCTTGTCTTCTTTCGCCAAGTTCTCTTATATGGTCTCCAAATGTCAGAGTGAAAGCAGGAGGAAGCAGTTCTGTTTACCTATTTCCATTTGGTTAACAGAAACCAATGATACTGACTAGATTTTGTCCTCAGTTTCTGTTTAATTATTTAGATGTAGATACAGTCGTATCTTGGTATTCAACTGCTTTGAAACTCATCATATTTGATACTTGACTCATTTTGATGTGAAAATTTTGTCCTGGTACTTATTGTTTGTTTGGTACTTGATGTGCAAGCTAGAACTTGTTAATATCAGCTGCCTCATGACTCACTACCCTTTTAAGCAAAACAAAGGCTCATGCATTAGTCACTTGGTTTGTTTGGCACTCATTTTTAGTACTTGTCGCACCTCCTGGAACCAATTAATGATGAATACTGAGGTACCACTGTATCTACGTCTCTACCAGTGAACTATAGCTGCTTAATTTTGAGATAAGATTGCCGATGGCCAATTATGAACATGGCATCATATAATTGTTAATCTGATTAAAGTTGTATGCTCACAGGACTTTTCTGTTTAGTGGGTCCCTGCACTTTGCACACCGTAGATGTTTATATATGATATATGCTTATATCTCCTCTGTTTAATGATATAGACATAAACACCAGCTTTCAGCAGTGCCTGCCATTTCCTTCGCATATAATATATACTTTAAAGAATATGAGCTATTAGAAGAGATATTTGATAGTTCCTTATGGTTTCTACATGTCCTTCCTTAAAATATATGCTGAGTTGCTACTGTAATGATTTATTTTATTTAAATGAATGTTAAAAATAGTATGAAGCTCCTGTTAGCCTTCATATTCATTTGTTTGGCATAAATGAGGATGTTCCCAAAGTTAATTAGAAGGAAATGTTCTAATGACTTAATTCTCATCAGGGTAAAAATTAATCTTGTACAGCATCTCTGTATTATATACTGAAGCATGACATATGTAGTGTCTACATTTTTTGTGCAACACTGTGTATGGCATGAAGGAAATGAAACATAAAATGTATTATCTCATTTGAAGGCAGGAAATATTAACTCGCCATTGGCTTCTTTGTTTCTGTCAATAGTATTTACAGATCTAGATGCATGCATGTTTGTATTTATATTCCTATTCTCATTGTATATACTTTGGGGCATTTTTAAGATGGTTATCAGTTTGACCTGCGTATCTCAGTGAGGTAAAGCCTCTGTAAATCAATGCTAAAAAGATTCTTGCTTTCAGGAATCACACTAAATATCAAAATGTGTTGTGGCAAGACTGGGCAGGTAAAACATGTCAAAACAGAATTGAATCAACATTGAACCAACAGATTGAATGCAGTGTGATTTTAAATAATATTGTTCTAATATTTTGGATGTCATGTTTGCTATTTAGAATTGAGTATGACGAAAACATAGGTAGAGTAGCATATCGATTAGCAGCTGCTATGTATTTTTTGATGGCAATGAACTAAAGTGGTAGCGTAGAAGGTCATTTATCAGGTCTGAAGGTCATCTGGAGTGAGATTTCATCAATAATAAATGTTTTTAAATGCTTTAAATAAATAATGCAGTTTTCACGAAATTGCACAAGTTCAAAATGCAGCTGATTGTTGAAGAGAGAGTCCTGATTCAGCAGCATCATATCCATCTTGTGGGGGTTATTTTGGCTATTGGAAGATTTTCAGGGTGGACTCAAATTGTATGACAGCCTATCTGGCTCAGGTGCTTTACTCTTATGGGTCTGCCTCCTCCAAGCAGATTCTCTATTCTTCTGCATGCTACACAGCAAACATAATTGGTAAATTTCCTCTCCCAGCAGCATAGAACCAGCATTATGGAGAAGACCTTTCTCTATATGCCTATGGAGGTGCCAAGTCTATGGAATTGTCTACTCTATGGTGAAAATGGCACTCTCATTAATAGCATTCTTAAAGCAGATGAAACTATACTTTTTGGGGGGGAGCTTTTGGACAATAGGCTAAAATAACAATAATCACTATTTTTCTTGGAATTAAGCAACGTTTTTAGCAATTAAGGTTATCCTTTCATATATATTTCCTTACCAGATTCCCCAGTATTTTAAACAATGACAGAACGTATAATGCACTGCCCTCACTAGAAAAGTTGGGATACATTCAGAGATGTATCTGCCTTGAAACTAGCCCATGTATTGCCCTGTCAAACACAGGAAATGTTTTATGACATTATGTCATAAACTGTTTTATGATAACTTCTATATCATAAAGAGTTCTATAAAATTTGTCAAATTTCAATTCCATGGGGGTCATGGGTTCCAAATTTAGACTCATTCTATAAGTTAACCCATCTGAGGTAACCTATCTTGGTTCAAAAATTGTTGCCATATGATACACCATTTCACCCAGTTAAAAGTTATGGGAACAAGAGTTTTGTAGTATAGATAGAGATTTTATAGGAGGATCATTTTTGTGACCTATCCAGAGTCTGATGAAATGAATAGCACACAATTAATATAAAGCAAATAAATAGCTTACACACACATAGACACAAACACACATACACAGATAAATATTATGGATCTTCAGGAATTAAATACAGGTAGTCCTCAATCACAATTGAGCCCAAAATTTATGTTGCTAAACGAGACATTTGTTAAGTGAGTTTTGCCCCATTTTATGACCTTTCTTGCTACAATTTTTGTGAATCACAGCAGTTGTTATGTTAGTCACATGTTTGTTAAGTAAATCTGGTTTACCCATTGACTTTGCTTGTCAGAAGGTCGCAAAAGGTGATCACATGATCCCAGGACAGTACAACCATCATAAATACAAGTCAGTTGCTAACTGTCTGAATTTTGATCACATGACCGTGGGGATGCTGCAAGGGTTGTAAGTGTGAAAAATGGTCAAAAGTCACTTCTTTCAGTGCTGTTGTAACTTTGAACGGTCACTACATGAACTGTTATAAGTCGAGGACTACCTGTATTCCTCATTTCCCTTGATTCTACACACTCAGATTGCCCTGGAGCAAATTTTATTCTAGCACACCTTCTTAACAAACTCCCACCAGTTTATTGAGATTCTCAGTCATCCAGGTCATGGTTGTCCCAAAAGTGATTTTTTTCCCAAAGGCAACTGGACATAGTTGCCTTTTGAATGTGGGCCATTGGTTTGAAAGAGGGGTCAAAGAGGCCATCTACATTAAGACTGAACAGCCCTCTCTCAACAGGCACCATCTATCTCCTATTTACAACACAGTCCTTTCAGCAGTTTCAAGAAGGTCCCACACCCATTTGCACTATTCAGGTGGCCCTGAGGGTACAGATAAACCTCCAAGTGGCCTCAATGATTCTCAGAAAATGTGCTAATGACCAGATGATTGCAAGGAATATAAA